CTCCACACGTAATAATTTGAATAAATTAAGAAATCCTCCGACATATTTCATATTTGGGGCTCACTGTTTAGCCCGACTCCAATGTTCACAGTGATTCTATTGTACATTAACAGTCCCTCAGGGCATCATGCACAGCATTTATAACCTCCCACTAAATGAGGTGGGCTAGAACACAGACAGGAGAGCAGTGGCCCATACCTTCTCTCAGTCGGAATGTCGTGGGTCCATTAGTGGGGAGGCCTTGTTAATGTCCCAGAGGAGCCAACTACAGCAGGATAGTAGAAGGCGAAATCTAAAGACATAAATCCTGCAAAAGCACAAAGAATATCTGTGCCCTTCATAGACTGTCCTGTGAGGGCTCAGAGTGAGGCAAGAGATGAAAAGGTAGAAGGCTCTTCAATGTGTTATTTCATGTTTGAACAGGTAATCTATTTTGAAGTCAGTTTATCTCATCACACACCTCCATAACATAGGAGATGTTGAGCTCCTATTGAAAGGACAAAGTAGATCTTTAAATATGTCATACAGATTATCCCTTTTAAAGTGTTTTTGATAAATCCTTCTCATATTCTATAGGATTTTGCATTTAGAAGGTTGGATTACACATGCAGATAGCTTGTGTCCATTGAACCACAAACTAGTAAAACTATTGCCATGTTAACACTACCTTAGATGTCTAAGTCCTACTTTTAGAATAAATTGCAAAACTGTGGCATTGCATTCTACTTTTCTATGTATTATGTCCAGAGGCTCCTCAGAAGACAAGCCAGGCAATCTGCTCAGAAAAGTTGCAGCCTTGAAAACCCTATGGAGCAGTTCTGCTCTGAACACACGGGGTCACCAGGAGTCAGAATTGACTTGATGGCAAATAACAGCAACAATATTTTCATAGACTAAATTAATAATCTCATATGTATATATATGTGCATGTATGAAATGAATTTATTTGTAGTTATTATACTTTGTCTTTTTCAAAAACTAAATAATCTTCTCTTTCCCCTCTTTCTATTATGCACATTATATTATTAAAAAGAAGAAACTATTCCCCGACAACACCAAACAATGTAGAGCTCACTACTCTTCTCTTTTTAAATTGAAGTCATTATGTTTACTCTTCCTCAGATATTCACTTCTGCTGTCTTCAGTTAAATAATGTTATCTATCTTGTCCTTTGATTCTTTTGATATTTACACTTACAAAATCTGTGCTCAGAAACTATAATGTCATGATAAAAATTACCCAAAATTATGGAATAACTAGGATTTATTTTGTATGATGTAAATGTGTGTGTATCTTTATCTATCTGTGACTACTTACAATAATGGCAGAACTTAGTGTCCAAAGAGGTGTCCTGGGTATCACAAACAGGTAAGCCCTCAGCTACTAGACAAAACCACCCAGAGTTGCCTAGGAAGACAGGCCAGGCAATCTGCTTCTGAAAGGTTGTAGCACTGAAAACCCTTAGAGCACACGAGGTCCCCTTCAGTTGGCATCAGCTCAAAGGTCACTAATAACAACAAGTGTCCAATGGGAGATGGCTACATGAGAGTTCAGTTCCGAGAAAAATGTCTTTCTAATATAATCAGAAGATAAAGTCGTTTTCAAGAATTATTTTAAAAAGAGGTAACTAATTACAACTAACTCTTATTCAAGGAAATAACAAAGCATCTTCTTCAGCATAAGAAACACTTAGCTTTTGATATATAGAAAGAAGAGTTGACGAAAAAAATTAGTGGATAGATCTAAATGAGTATGGTTATATATTGACTAGATATTATCCATGATAAAACTTTAGTAATATAGATTCCTATTTGAAAATGCTTATTTGTATTAGAATACAGGAGCGCTGGTGGCCATCATTAAGAGCTCGACTGCTAACCGAAAGTTCGACAGTTCGAATCCAACAGCTGCCCTGTGGAAACCCTATGGGGCAGCTCTTCTCTGTCCTGTATGGTCTCTATGAGTCAGAATCCACTCATCGGCAAAAGGTACTGGTATTAGAATACAAATGAGCAAATGTAGAATCAAGGATGAAATAAAGGTAGAAAGTAATAAGGTCTTTTCATTGCTCGAGAAGTTTTGAAAATAATAATTTGTTAGAATTTAATGAGTAAAGCGTGAGTGTTGTAAAATGTAGAGCCCCATTACAAGAATAGTTAACGGCACATTGAATTACAGAGGAAAGTGGAACAAGAAAAATATTTACAATAAAACAAAGAAAAAGCAATGTATATTTAGAGCTACAAATGAAAGAAAATAGTAAATGGTAGAGTTCAATCTAAATTAAATAACTATGTTAAATATAAATAAAATTTCAATTCAAATACTAATGTTAAAGTCAAATTGAAAGTCAATTCAAAGATTAATTTTAAAGTCCACGTAGAACTTTTCCCAAAATATGTTGATATTTTAAGGAATGTAAATATCAAATGTACGGAACAGTGTTGCTGATGCAGTAGTCTCTAGCCAAGTCAACAGGTGGGCCCTTGAAATTCACTGAATTAAACTTAATACTAAGTGTTTGAACTAATTAAACATAATCAGCAGCTAATTTAATGAGAAAGACCTGGAATATATGCATAAGGCAAGAGGAAAGTAAACAGATTAAAACAAGAAACACCGTGCAACACACCCCGTAGAAAAATGCTGCAGTTAAAGGGCCGTCACATGAGAAGGCAAAAGGCATTATTTGAAATAAAAGACACGTTTCACAATGATAAACTCTCCAAACCATTAATAACATGATTTTTAAAATTTGTGTCTACCTGATAACATAGGCTGATCATAGAAATTAAACACTCTCACTACTTATCAAAAGAGCAGATACAACAGTGAGGCTACAGAAGGATTTAAACCAGACAATTAACAACACTGACGCACACATGAACACAATACATGCAAGGGCAGAGTTCACATGCTTTTAAAGTCCACACAGAACTTTTCCCAAAATACACTTTCTATTCGTATTTCAAAGAATATACATATAAAAATGTATAGAACTGTGTTGTTGATGCAGTAGTCCTTAGCCAGTTTAACAGGTGGGCACTTGAAGTGTGACGCTCAAATTTAAATTTAAATTAACTCACAGCAAATGACATTTGAAATTCAGTTGCTCTTTCACAAAACTACGTTTCAACCACAAATTTAGAACATTTCTAACATTACAGCAAATTCTCTAACTACAGTGGACTTAGAGTAGAAATCAACTACATAATTTTGTAAATTCTTATAGGATTTTTCATTCAACAATATATTTATAAATTACATATGGCTCAAGAGTGATTACAGTGCATATTCATAATTTTTATATGAATTACAATAAAAATTAACATCAAATGTCGTAGTGGCGATGGTAATTGGAACGGCAAAGACAGTAACCAACTGCACAACTCTTACAGAGAAGAGGGGCCAGGAGGGTCACTCTGAGGAGTCGACCCTGCTTCAGTCCCAGGAGTTTATTTTATAGTCAATACAGCAAGCAATAAAGCAATTAACAAAACAATG